TTGTAAATTCCTCCCTCTGCACAGGGCAAATGTCACCAGCACCTATTCTGGGGCTGATTCCCAGGCCAGGGTGAGTCTGGGAAATGCTGACCTGGCCCTTCTGTGACTGAGGCCAAGCTGTTTAAGCAGCAGAGAGTTTCTGTCTCCAAGGCACTTTAGATCTGAGTGCCTGTTAACAGCAGAATTCTGAATGAATCTCATGCTTTGTCTCCCCAGGGCTAGTGTGGAGCCCAGAGAGGGACATTCCTACAGTGTCCTGGCATCTGAGAACCACAGGGACCCTAGCTGTAAGTCTGGGGCTTGACCTCCCAGCTAGTGAGGTCTGCAGCTGCCCTGAGGTCCCAGGGGTGCCATCCACATAAGATGGGCAGGAAACAAGTGTGTTTTACTGGTCCACATAGTAGCAATTTATGTACCGCAGGGCAACCAGCACCAATGTCTACATAGCTTTCTTCAGAGAAGGGGCGAAAAGAACAAACATCAACAACCTGAAATGCCACTTCACCTCCATGAAGATGCCTATTATTTAAACCAGAAAACAACAAATCTTGGCAAGAATGTGGAGAAATTGCATTGCTGGTATTAATGCAAAATGGTACAGTCACTTTGGAAAGTGTGATCGTCAAGTGTGATCATGCTCTATAAAAACTTGAACATGGAATTATGATATGACCCAACCTAGGTATATACCCAAGATGTTTGGGAGCAAGGACTCAAACAGGTACTTGTACACCAGTGGTCACTATAGCACTGATCACAATAGCTGAGAGGTACAAACAATCCATGTCCATCAACAGATAAAGGGATAAACAAAATGTGACATATCCATACAATGGGATATTATTCAGACACAAAGAGAAATGAAGTTCTCATACAAGCTATGACATGGATAAAACATGAAAACATTATGCTGAATAAATAAATCAGACACAAAAGGATAACTATTGTGTGCTATCACTGCTATGAGACATAGGTTGTTGTTGTTATTAAGTGACATCAAGTTGGTTTCAACTCATAGCAATCCTATAAGGGTTTCTGAGGAAAGGCTGGTGGGTTTGAATAACCGGCCTTGTGGTTAGAAATCCAGTACTTATTCTATAGCACCACACGAGGATCCTATCTACAACAAGCAAATGCCCAAAGACCAAAGTACACTGAGATTACCAGGGTTGGGGTAAAGAGTGGAAAGAGACTACTTAATGGGAGAGCTAGCAGTTCAATGATTAAGTGACCAGCTGCTAACTGAAAGGTCGTCCTTCAAACCCACCACTGCTCTTAGGGAGAAAGCGGAGACAATCTGCTTTAGGAAAGACTTACAGGCTTGGAAACCCTATGTGGCAGTTCTGCTCTGTCCTGTTGCGTTGCAGTGAGTCACAATGACTCTACAACAATGGGCTTGCTTTGGTGTTTCAGAGTTTCTGTCTGAGGTGGTGAAAATATTTTGGAAATGTCAAATGTAATTAATGTCATTGAATTACACATATAAAAATACCAAAAATGTTATGTTATACATATTTTACCACAATTAAAAAAAAAAGTTTTGAAGGAAGAAAAACCTAAAATTATGAGAGAAATAATCCCTGATAAATTGACTATAATTAAAAATCACCCATATATGTTTTTTTATTATTTATTATTTTATTTTTCCTTTTTGGCATTCAAACAAATAATCAGCTGGTACTGGCCTGGTTAAAGAAACCAAAAATGTTATGTTATACATATTTTACCACAATTAAAAAAAAAAGTTTTGAAGGAAGAAAAACCTAAAATTATGAGAGAAATAATCCCTGATAAATTGACTATAATTAAAAATCACCCATATATGTTTTTTTTATTATTATTATTTTATTTTTCCTTTTTGGCATTCAAACAAATAATCAGCTGGTACTGGCCTGGTTAAAGAAACCTGGTAGCGTAATGGATTATGAGCTGGGCTGCTAACCACAAGATCAGCAGTTCAAATCTACCAGTTACTCCATGGGAGAAAGACGAGGCTCTCTGCTCCCATAAAGATTTATAGCCACAGGAATCTTACACAGGGTCATTATGAGTCAGAACCGACTCAGTGGCTCACAACCACCACCATCACTAGGCCTGGATTAGGTTCATAAAACTATCTCAAGAGTAAGACTTTATTTTTAGAGAAAGAGACTCACAGATTGTCCCTTGCTGGGGGCTGCTTTAGAGTTTTAACATGCTGGCAGCAGTCCTGAAGATTCCAGTGAGGTTTACATCTCCCCACATTTCTCTGCAGGCCCAGCCACGTCCTACTCAATGGCTGACCTAACACTGCTTCACACTTCCAACAGGGCATCCCAACAAAGGGTGGGGTCCATATTGCCCATATCCCCAGGGTGAAGGCATGGGAGGGAGACGTGATAAAGTAAATTAGTTCTCAGGAGACTTCTAAGTGGGCCTTCTCTCCCAAAAACCCAGTTAGTTAGACCCTGCATCATCCACTTCCAGCCCCTTTTAGTCTTAATTGTTTATTGCAGAAAGGCTCTCCAGGCTGCTGCCTCAAGTCCCGCTTCATGAAGAGTTTAACTCACAAAAAAAGCCCATTCATTTTGAGTATTGAAGCAGAGTTCCCCAAGCCCCAGTGTGCATGGGGAAAATGGGTGTTTACCCAGTGAGTCTGGTGGGGATGGAGGAAAGGGGGGTGGGAGGGGTGGTTCAGACCAGGAGTGGGCAGGCTCACCTAACCAGGAACTGGATTGGAGAAATTAACACAGTCTCTGAGCCAGGTCAATGCAGGAGATATGTGGGCGAAGACCTCAGGTCTGGGAAAAGGATACGGTTAATGGAAAAGTATACACACTAGCAGATAGGGCAGATTAGGGAGCAGCTCTAAATTTGTTTGTGGCTTCACCTGTGATAAAATCTAGATTCAAAGCACAAACGGGAAGCTAGGAATGCCAACACGATTCCAAGGCATGTAAACAAAACACAATCCCACTGCCATTGAGAATACTGTGACTCATAGTGAGACTACAGGACAGAGAAGAATTAGGGTTTCCCAGACTGTAAATCTTTACTGAAGCACACAGCCTCATGTTCCTCTCATGGGTTTGAAGTGCCCAACTTTTGGCTGGCAACCCAATGTATAGCATACTGCGCTACCAGGGTACAATGCCAAGAGTAAATAACTGCTGCTCTCAGCCGACACCTGGACCTACTTCTCTGCCTACTTTCTGTACCATGTCCCCAACTCCCATTGTCCAGCCCCATGCACCCTCTTCTGGGCCCCGGAACATGCTAAGCTTACTCCCTTCAGGGCTTTGGCCTGGATCTGGGATGTTCCTACTTGGTCTTCTCTTGGTTGCTCCTCCTTATCAATTCCCACTGCCACGAATCAATTTTGACTCATAGAGACCCTGTATAGGGTTCCTGAGGGTGTAGATCTTTACAGGAGCAGAAAGTATCATCTTTCGCCTGAGGAGTAGCTGGTGGGTTTGAACTGCTGACCTTGCAGTTAGCAATCCAATGCCTAAGCTACAGCACTACCAGGGCCCCTTTTCTGATCAGTAGGACCTCAGATTACATGTCACCTCCTCAAAGAGGCCCTCCTTGACTATTCAATCTGCCACACTTTATAATGCCTTCCGGAATTGCTTGTTACTATAACATATATCCCGGAAGCAGTAGTGGGCCAGTCATAGAATGCTCACTTTTCCTGCAAGATTTCTGAATTCAACTCCTGACCAATGTACCTCCCATTTATCAATGGAGGCCTGTGTATTGCTACAATGCTAAACAGGTTTCAATGAAGCTTACAGACTAAGACGGAATAAGAAGAAAGGCACTAAAACAAAGTAGGAAGAAAGGTCTGGCTCTCTACTTTCAAAACTATGCATAAAAGTAAAATTAAAAAAAATAAAACCTTATGGAGTACAGTAATCTGACCTTCAGCCCACCAAGGGGATGGGGCAGGACCTGGTAGTGTTTTGTTTCAAAGTGCATGATTCAGAAACCAACTAACAACAAAACAGAACCCAGTCTGTCCTGAGTCTTATAAAGACACTCAGTTAAATGAAAGCTTGATGCTGATTGGGAAAGAAAAGCTCAAGTCACCCAGGAGGAGCATAACCATACTTGATAGAGAGGGAGAAGACATGTGGTGACAAAGGCACACAACTCAGACACAAAGTGGACCAGAGATGCCATGGTAAAAGTGTGCTGAGACTTAAGCAAGGGACTTTTATTTAAGGGAAAAGGAGAGCCAATGTCCTGCATTGATGGAGAATCAAAGACTTATGGGCAAGGTACAACTCTGTAGGAGGCAGTCCTTCAGGAAGACAGTTACTGTTGCCGGACAGTGGGCTCATTTGACACTAACACTTCCCTCCTTCGCACAGAATCCTTAGATGAGTGCTTGATGCATTGAATGTGTGAAGCATTTATTTAAGCTATCAAAGAATAAAAATGTCAGACATTTCTTATTTTGGTTGTTAGCTGCTGTTGAGTTGGTTCTGTTGTGTAACCAAATGTTCTATCTTCATGACTGTTGCTATGTTGAAGCTACTGTTGTGGTTACAGTGTTAATCCATGGTGGGTCTCCCTTGTTTTCACTCATCCACTCCGTTTTAGTTATCATCTCCTTCCCCAAAAGGTACTAAGAATAAGAGACTGAGTGGGTTGGTTTCTATTATCCCAACATGTATTTTATTCAGCTTGCATTTGTGTTTGCTTTTTAGGGATGAGAAGACAGTCCTAATGCTAAAACACGCTCACTGATATTCAGACACAAGCACGTGGGACTCTGGCAAAATCTTCACACAAATCTCAAAGCCTCAGTTACTTCTATTGGAATCTGAAGACACTCAGTATTGCCAAGCCAAGAGAATAAAGAGAGCCCACTAGGCAGTTTTATTCCTACTATCTGATCTATCAGATATATTTGATGCAGCTTCCTCCCCAAACAGAGACAGAAAAGGCACACATTATCTGCCAGGTGCTGAGATGAGAAGGCCACCATGGATGCTCTCAGGGACACACAATACCTGTATGTAATCCTCACTTCGGTGCCAGGTTCATCTTGCTCCCAGATCAAAGCAATGCTGTCCGGGGACTTCTGAACATGTTGGTCCAAGCAGTTGACTGCACAAAAACAAATGAACATTACACAGATTACTTTTAGCATAAAATCAGTGCAGCATCTTGTTTGTTGTGACTTGCTTGACTCCCCACTGAAGTGGAGAGCGGTAAGGTTTTCAATCTTCTTGTAAGAAAGATGCTTGTCAGACCTGTGAGAACAAGAGAATAAAAATGCTCTTGAAGGACCATCAACGGAGAAGAGCGGAGAGCGAAACCCTACCCAGAGAAGCAGCGATGCCTGAGATGGAGGCAGAGATGATGACTTGGAGCAATGGAGCAGCTGGGGACTTTAGATCCAGAGAGGGCAAGCGACTGTGTGCTGAAGACTTGGGGGGAAGGGGAAGGAGGGGGAGGGCAGGCTTGCAGGGTATACCCTTTCGTTGGTTGATGATGCATGGAGGGGATTGTAACCATGGCAATGAAACAATATACGATAGAATGAATGTAAAACTAATGTTCTCCCATATAAACTATCATATAATTCACAATAAAACATTTTTTTTTTAATTCTCTTGAAGGGGCCGGCGATCCCACAAATATTCTGAAGCAGTCTCTTCTAGCCACATTAGCATTACCCAGGGAACTTTTACAGAGCTGAAGCCAAGTCACCCCAAAGACTCCAATCCAATTGGCCCAGTTGTTTTAAAAGCTGGCTTCTGGGCCTCATTGTTTTAAAAGCTCCCTGGATGATCCTAATGTGCAGCCAGGGTTGTGCACCACAGTAAAGTTGATAGAAAGGAGACAATACAAACAGGACTCTTATTTGTCTGGAATTAATCTTGCTCCATCAAGTGACAGTTTAATACAAGTCAAGGATCCAAGTCCTTTCTCAGGTATATAACCAGCAGTCCAACAAACCAACTTCTGCCCCCAAAAGTAATACAACAGAGAAAATACCATCCTGGGGTTCTGGAAAGCTGTATTCCACTACCCCTCCTACCACTATTGTTGTTAAGGGTCATGGAATCAGTTCCAACTCACAGCAACACTGTATAGGGTTTCCAAGGAGCAGCTGGTGAGTTTGAACTGCCAACCTTGTGGTTAGTAATCCAGTACTTACCCTCCAGCACCATACCAGCAGCCCCCCACCCCTCCCATTCCCCAATCTCAAATCACAAGACCTGCCCCCAAAACATCACGTTGATTCTGCCCTTTATCATAAGTCTGAGGATTAGTAGGATCATGTTCCTTACACCTTTGCTAGTAGTCTGTCACTATTCGTTGTTTTCAAAGTGAACTTAACTCTAGCTGCCTTCAGCTAGAGTTCTTTCCAAACCTCAAAGGGACATTTTCACTACTGTATTCCCCATCAGTAGACCTACACCTGTGAGGGAAATGGGAACTCTGAATAGCTTTAGAGACAGCCGTCCTCTGCCCATCTGGTCTTTCAATGTTCCCCCAGAGTCCCAGTCTCAGGAAAACAAGTGTCACCTTGAATCAGATCCCATCTCCATGTATGGGATCATGCATCCCCATGCTATGCCCTCAACTTCTCTTGACCCACTGATTGGGAACAAGCCACGTAAGCTCTTTCCAAACCTCCCATGAGACCTCCCATTTTGGCAGCTGCGAACCCCCTAGAGAGAACTGATTTTCTATCTTCACTCCTACCAGAGAAAGAGGTCCCTTCCTATTCAAACTGCCCTCTGCTCATCATGTACTGTGGAGAAATCTATTCATCCCCAAGACCTGCTAGCATATGCATCATTGCCTACCTCCCCATTAGCCCATTTCTCCACCAGTGATTGTGCTATCTACAGTGATGATTCAACTCTCAAGCCTCTTGAGTCTTCTTGGTCTCTGTTCCCCACAACCCGCAATCATGAGGTCATTCCAAAGTGGGGAAACTAGAGGTGAGTGAGAGGCAGGCATGATGCAAGAGTAAGACAGGGTAGTTTGAGTAAAGTAAGATTTACCTGCTGGGCCTGTACATTTGCTTCTGCTGGTGACCAGGCACTGGATGCTAAAACAGGTGGTCATGTAGGTAGATGTGGACTTCTCTGACACCCATTTTAGCCTAAGCCTTCCTCAGACATTGGTGGTCCAGAACTTCCCAACACCTCCCATCACCAATAAGTTTCCACACGCAGGGTTATTACCCTAGCACAATTTAAGCATATTTAGTCTTTTCCTGGCTTCTGGAGGACAGACAACACAATTAGAGAAGGGCCCAGGAGGATCCCAGCCCATGTAGACCCAGGTTGAGTCCTCAGTGTTGTACTCAAGGGTTGCTCCCTGGGTAATCTGGACCCTCATCTCTCAAGATCCCTTGTCATCAATTGAATTGTGTTGCCCCAAATTATGTGTCAAGATGGGTAGGCTGTGATTCCTAGTATTGTGTGGTTGTTCTCCATTGTGTAATCTGATGCAATTATCCTCCATTTTGTTTTATGTGTTAGAATTCCTTACCTCTAGATATGGGAATGATTAGAGTGCGTCGCATTTTGAGTTACAGCCTTGTAAGAAGCTGTATGAGTCAAGTTCCACCCTTATCCAAGTCACTACCCTTCTCAAGGATTCACGTCATGCCTGTACTCAGGTCACCACCCATAGTAAGTTATACCTGGGCTTGAGTCATACATTTTCTCTTATAAGAAATAGTCAGAGAAAGAAGCTAACAGAGAGGAGAGACTTGACTATCACCAAGAAAGAAGAGCCAGGGGTAGAACTCGTCTTTTGGACCCAGGGTCCCTGAACTGAAAGCCTCCTAGATCCGGGGATAAGAGCGATGCCAAGAAAACATGGATGTTTCCAAGGAATTAGGAAGCAGAAGCTGAAGAGACAAGGACCTTTTTCCAGAACTAACAGAGAGAAAGCCTTCTCCTAGAATTAACATGCTGAATCCTAAACTTTGAGAGAACAAATCTCTGTTGTTTAAAGCCATCCACTTATGGCATTTCTGCTATAGTAGCTCTAGATAACTAAGACACCTCTACTCCAGTAACTGTGTGTGTGAGTTAGTCTGTATTAGTGTGCTTAAGTACATGTATGAGTGTGATATTTATGGATGCTCATGATGAGGCCACTCTATAGTATAAATATTGCATTAAGCACTGACTCTCCCTAAGGGCTCCTGGTGTTATTCCCAGCATAACACACGGTGATGCAAGAAGAGTACAAGGCTAACAATAAGCAGGCTACAGGATTTTCTTTTGTTTCAATACAAAAGGTTTACAAACCCGGGTCCACTGCTGATAGGATTGTAAAATGATACAATCACCATGGCAAACAGTTTTGCAGTTATGCAAAAAGTTAAATTAGAACTACCATTTGATCCAACAATTCCAAGTGTATACCCAGAAGACATGAAGTCAAGAACACAAACAGAAACCTGTATACCAATATTCAATAGCCAAAAGGTGGAAACAACTGAGATGTCGATTAACAGATGAATGGATAAACAATGTTGTACATATACAATAGACTATGTCAGGAGTCCTGGCATGGCACTCTAGGATAAGCACTGGACTGCTAATCACAAGGTCAGTGGTTCAAACCCACCAGCAGCTCCTTGGAAACCCTATACAGAGTCACTATGTGTCAGAACCTACTCTACAGTACTTAACTACAACAACATTACAGAGTCATAAAGAGAAATGTATGGACCTTGAAGACATAAAACTAAGTGAAATAAGTCAGACACAAAAGGACAATTATTATATGATTCCACTTATATGAAGTATCTACAAAAGGCAACCAGAGGTGGGCAAGAAGGAAAGAGAAGTAATGGAAACTTACTACTTTTAAAAATATGTATTACAAGTTTGAAATCACTGGAATTTCCCTTCCATCCCCTCAAAGTCACTCCACTTTTACCAAAAGGTTTCTGTTTTGTTTGTTTTTTCCTTCAATGGAGTAGTATTTCAGGAACATAAGGCACATGAGAGTCAGTTAAAACTCTAGATTCAGCCAATCTACCAGGCACCATTCTGACCAAGACACCAGGTTGAGCACCAAGAGAAACACAAAGGCAAATATTAGAGACAGTGGGCTGGGGCAAGTATCATAACATTTGCTCACACTGGGCAAAGGAGCCCAAAGGAAGTTAACAGAAATCCAAGACTGAGAAAGTAGTAATGGCCAAAGCCTTCACATAGATAGCAATCTCTGTGGGCAGGAACCTGCACTAACCCAGGATGAGGGACTACTGGTGTCTCTGCACTATGGATGACAAAACAGAGGCACAGAACAGTTAAGTAGCTTGCCCAAGGTCACACAGCCAGTCAGGGGAAGAGCTGAGATTCAAACAGAAGCTGGCTAGCTGGATGTTCCTACCCTTCACTGTGAATCCTCAATAGTCTAAATGCCAACATCAAATATCTGCGCCACAGATTAGTGGGAGATAAGCCACTGTGGCTGGGATAACAAGGAGGAGTTGGGCGTGTTCTTACAGAGCAGGTGGGATTAGAGAATGGAGGAACCAGTTCCTGCAGGTGGAAAGAAAAAAGTGAACTGTGGGGGAGATGGAAAAGAAACAAGGTTGTTTGGAGGAAATTAGTAAACTAGTTTGGCAAATCACAGCACAGGTGTCAGCAACTTTGGTACCCAGGCTACAGACGTGACTTAACTGTGGAGTGTCTCTGTATATACAATGTTAAAACTCAAGGGTTTTCACACTTAAAAACATGGGTTTCTGGCTTCTCCTGAGTAGTCAGCAGGCCATGCCCAGACTTGAGGAAGTCAAGGTGAAGGTTGCCCCTCAGGAGGGCTCATCTTCTCAGCCGGCTGCCTCATTGCTTTTATCAACTACCTTGGAAGGAAAGACTATAGTGCCCAATCCAATAGATTAAAAATCCCTGACATGGAAATCCATGACAGCCCAGCTAAAAATTGACATCACAGAAGACTAAGAAAGGTCCGACCCAGTCAGTAAAATGTATGAAAGATCTCGCATGGATGGCAGAGGTCAGACCTGGTCAGTTGGATGCATATAGGAAGTCTCCCGGGAAGATGGGGAGAGTCCAGGCCAGGTCAGTGTGACGGGGGGGGGAGGATGCATGTGT